AGGGTCATTCGCGCAAATACAACAAGAGTACGGTGACTTTAGTGGCACACTGTATATAAAGAGATGAATATATATGTACTTATACAGAAAACAAAAAGGAAAAATATATCTATATATAAAAAAAGAAAAACAATTTTGCAATGATTTTATATCATTATGGAAAGTGCTGTGGAAGGTAAGTGAAAGACTTTTGTTTTTAATAATTTATGTATAATTTCTTCTATATTTTCATATTTATAATACAACTTAGCTTTACTAGTTGGTTGGTTTTAATTTTTTCATATTTTTACAGCATTATCTTGTTTCCGTATTTTACATATACTATATCGAAGTGTTGTTTAGAAATCATGTTCATAATTATTTAACATACAAAAAAGTTGATTTATGTCTATATATATATATATTCTGTAGTATGTTACACAATACTTATATATTTGGATTTACTAGGCATGTGCTTAGATTGTTCGTTTTATATACTTATATAACACCTACCCATTGTTAAATCTACATATCGATCTTTAGTTCCTGACACTATACTAGCACTATAGATTTCCCTATGTAGCCCTACGTACTTACGCACTAACTGTTGTCATCTGCTCAACACCTATATCATATCAATAATAATAATAATGATAATAATAATAATCATAATAATAATAGTATAATAATAATAATTTCATTAGTAATACTTATTGTTTGCCTATTTTGCTTATATAATGTAATTTTTGAAAAGTTTTCCTTTTTTTTTGTTTTTGAGGCATATGTAAGACATTTTCTTGACTTATATAAAGTATTTAATATTTATTTAACGCTTGGTTTGGTCTGTATCGAACATATGGGAACTAAAAAATATACGATCTATTTCTCTCTATTTTGTGTGTTTTTCATTAACAAGTTCAGAGAATATTGCTTGATTTGTACAAAATACGGCACCAAAAATATTGTGTCCCTACTTTTTACGTATGTATATATACATATGTGTTTATATACCCAGTTCCATTCATGATGTTTATGTTATCCATATACTTTACATTTTGTTTTTTAATTGACAAATTGTTTTCAAGGATTACTCTGCTATAAAGTCGCTCTTTCTTTTGGTTCCCCACATTTGCCAACTTCACGATATAAAGTATCAGATCATAATATTATCATATCGGATTAGCTTATAGATTGATGAAAAACTAAATTGGGCTTGTGCAGATTGCAAGTTTCAAATGTTAAAAATGATTTGATTCATTTTTTTTTTTTTAATAAGGCTTTTGCTTGTTGTTTTATTTAAATTTTCGCTAAAAACTACAATTTAAAATTAATAATCAGTATTTATTAATAATAAGATTTTAACGTAATAATAATAAAAAAAAAAAAAACATTTCATTCACGCTCACACACAGGCACGCACACACTCACACAAATATTTACAATTAAATCTCTGCCATTTACAACTCCGAATAGTTTTAAAATTACAATTTTCTGTTTGCTTGTGTATATATTGGAATAAATATGTTTTATTTATGTATTTTATTTTATTTTTTTTAACTTTTATTTTCTTAATAGTTTGTCCTTTCTTGATTTTTTAAAAATGATAAGCCGAATTTGAAAAAAAATTTTCCATAAATATATACAGTTGAAGCAGCTCGATGTGATTAATTTGTTTTTAAAAACATTTTTAGAGACAAAACAAAATTAATTTGAGTGTTTTTTTTTTTTTTAAGAATATATGACATTTAAAAGTTTGGATTTCAAGTCATCTTTATCATCTGAAACTAGAACTGGAATGCGCAATCACATAGAGCGTCTGATAATAACTAAAGCAGCTGCTAGTCCTAGAAATAGAAGTGCGACTGTACACAAAATGTTAAACAAAGAGCCTCTGGGATAAACTTAATTTCTTAACAAAATGTAAAACGAATATTGAGATAAACATGTTTTGTTATTCATTTAGATATTGCTAAGTTTAGCGGAAAGTTTCTGTATATAACATTTAATGCTCAGTCACCCTACTATTTTCATGCCCGCAGCTGTATGTAGTGTATTGATTGTGTAGATCTTTTCGACTTGTCTGTACAAAATCTGTTTTGGATTATTTCGAAAATGTTTCAACAAAAGTTAATATAAAATAATAAACTTCAAGTGTTTTGTTGCAATTTTTAAATTTTTTTATGGAGTTTCGACACGGTTTTTCTTTTGGCTTACAATCTAAAAATACAAACATTTCCATTCTCCAAAAGTGTTCTTGATTTTTTTACTTTTCATTTTAATTTCTATTCTAATTTTATATGTTGCTGTTCGCTTTAATATATGCACTTAGTTGCGGCCACGCCCCCAAAATGTTGGTAGCCGACTTTCGATTTTCGCTAAGAACTACAGTTAATGACTACGAGCTACAACTGTTAAGTGTTTCGCTTTTCATTTCTGGTTTTTCTTCGATTTTCAACAAATTTTCTATTTTATTTTTAATTTTTTTTTTTTTGTGTTTATTTAATGAATTTTTCCATTTGTTTTTTGTCATTTTTAAATAGTTATTAATAAATAATTAAAATATATATAATAATAATATATATTTATTTTTATATATTTTAGTTTTTTGTTTTTTTATTTTATATATGAGTAGGTATTTTTATGGAAGTGGGTTAACTAGAATAACGCATGCTGATCCGTATGCGCTATATAAACCGAGCATTTGAATTCTTTTTATTAATTTTTAACTTTCTCTGATATTTAGGCTAAACATAATTGCGAATTTCTACTTCGTGTTTAACTTTTAATACAGTATTTGATTTTTTACATAGGCTAGACTACGGAACTATATATAAAATTCGCTTTAATTAAAAATGTACAATCATTATTTAGTATTTGTTTATGTACGTTGGTTGTATAATTCATATTTATATATATGTATATATAGTATGCCTATATAGTTTTAATATCTTGCGTGTGCACAACAAAATTGGGGCTGGACTTATCAACTAACTGTACAAAATAGGGCTTTACAAAAGTGTTGGGGAGAGGGGATAATAAAAATAAATGATTTACAGATGGGTTTACAAAAGAACATGCATGAAAGTGGATAAAGATGTAGGGTTTGCTTTTTTTTATAGGACACTTTGTTGCTGCTGGAAGTAAACGATCGCTGAATCGTTTCTCTCTCTCTCTATATATATAGTCGGATCTACATATATATATGTGTGTGTTTCATATACATATATAGCTTGGTCGAACGCTGGCTTTATGATTATCATCTAACCTCACAGTCTTTTTTCAGTGGAAGTAAACCGCCTGTGCGGCTGCCGTTGCTGTTGTTGCCGTTGTTATTGTTGTTGTTATTATTATTATTATTATTATTATTATTATTGTTGTTGTTGTTGTTCGAATTGCTATTGCATGAATTGCTGGACACGGACCCGGAGCCACTGGCCGACGGCAACGAATTGTTGCTATTATCATAGTTGCCCACATTGACGCACAGCGGCGAAGTGGGACCAACACCGACACCAACAACATCAGCACCACCCACGCCTCCGCCAGCACCACTGACGACCGAGGCAGCCGTTGCACCGCTGCTCTCTGGCAGCGAGGTGGAGTCATGCACATCCGCACTCTTGCTGCTGTCGATGACCAGGCAGGGCGGCGAGGGCGTGCTCGTGTCCTTGCCCAGCAGTGCTGGCGAGGCATTCGCGTTCTGGGAGTGAGGCGTGAAGCTGCTATT